CCTGAGTAACAGCAATGGATGGGGCAGAGCTGACACAGATACTTCACACAAACCCGTCTGTGTTTATTACCTTACATTCCTTCCTACTTTCTGTAATGTTACTTAATTATGGTACGCTTTAAATCTTTGACATGTATCTGTTCGAGGCATCATATAAGCTAAAAATCACAGTGTAAACCTACATTACTGAGATTCCAGTAAAAGTTTTTATAATCACAGGCTTTTGTTAAGCTCTTTGCTGCACAAGAACCTGGATGCAGATAACCATCAAGCAACTCTTTCTTTTTATCTTACGGGGAGGGGGCAGGGAAGGAATAGCTTTAAGGCAGAAAAAGAATTGCCTGTAATTTCAGCTGGACCACTCACCTACAAAAACGTTACTACAGCCCAAGAAACAGATGCAAAATTACAGTCACAGCTGCATTCTGAGAAGAACAAGTTGGGTAATGGTACACTAAGCTGCTAATTAAATTGCTAATGATTTTTTTTTAGTGCCACTGCAGTATTTTGCCACCTTTGTTTAAATTAAAAAAAAAAAAAGTACCTAAAAAAATTTTAAAATGGCAAATTTCTATTTTGCTAAATACCAGTGAGACCTCCAAATAAATGCATATAAACAAGTCTCTTCAAAATGACACAGCCATGGAGATTTATTGGGAGCTCATTTGCTGACCAGCTATTTCTCTCTCCACACTTCCCCAAAATTTTCCTTCCTTTAAACACTGCCATCCTCACAAGCTTCTCTGTATTGATGTCTGCAGCAACACCCACTGTTGGTAGGAGCAGATAATAAACTGACATATGTCATGATATGCTGGTACTGGGAGTATACTATAGCTGCATTTACAAAAAATAATAGCAACAGTACAATTTTATTTTTATTGTGATAACTGTGGTGAAATTTATTGCAGTGTTAGTACTTTATTGTTTCATTATGCCAGATTAGCTGAGGGAGGTAATTATATCCTTGACATGAAAATGCCTTTAATGTTTTCATTTCAATTTTGCAGTTTATAATATGCAGATTACAGCATTATCATAATTCCACATTGTTACATGTACAATTACATGGAAGAACATTTGCTTCCAAGATAATGGAGCTAATTTCTAATAAATGATTTCACCAAGGATCTTAACTCATTCAGCTCTTGGGTAAATACCGATGGCAATAAAAATATGCATATTTCTCCACTATTTTCAAGTGATTCATGCTGATGTACATTACTTAAAGCCAGGCAGCTCTATGACAAATGGAATACAATAAATTCCATATAAATATTTCCAGCAGTAAATTTGTGCCTTGTTATCACTTTTCTAGACAACATCCAATCTGTAACAATATAAATGCAACTCTAATGAAATATCACGTTTATATACACATATATGTGTGCATATAGATATATATACACACACAAACACACACATATATACAGCCCAGATAATTCCATACACCAAAAAATACTTACATTATCTTTTTTAACAGTGTCCAACTTTAATGCTCTCTTAACTCTGGAAGACAAAAATATGGACAAGTTTTATGGTCATCTAGACACAAAGATTTCTGGTAGTACGGTCAATAATCTGTAATTTTAAAGACATTTCCCATCTCGTTTTTCACCTTTTTTTTACTACGCAAGAAAGCTAATCTCATCCAAAGCAAATACATTAACTGATTAAAATACCGTGTAACAAGAACATTGCTTGTTTAGAAGGATAAGGTGTTTGCATAAGAAAATCCAATTCTCCATTTTATACTAGAGATAAAAATCAAGACACTGAAGTGAAATTGCACTGTACATTTGTCTCTTTCTCAAAGACTATAAACAAAGAAAAAATGCAAAAGCATTATCATTTACATACCTTCTGAGGAAGGGTTGAAATTATTTTGCCATTAGTAGAAATAATGTATCAGGCATTTAAAACACAGGTACAGCCAAGGTGAAAAAAGTAGTTCTTCCCATCATTTTAGCTCTTAACATGATTCAGTGCTACCAGACTATGACTTAACTGGGGAACAGATGCTCTATGTCTTTACAGGTCCCCAAACCATAAGAAACTATTCGCTAGTCTTCTTCACTATACTGATTCAGGAACATGCCAAGCTCTCTCTGCAAAATCTGCTCTGCTGAACTGGATGCCCAGCTGTTAATGGCAACGCTAGAAGAGGAAAGCTGAATATTTATAATACTTTATATCGTACAGCTGTCTTCTAAAGAGCAGTCATCAAAATTTTATTGAATGCAGACTAAATGCTCAAAGGAAAGAAAGGTCAACATAAATTAAGACTATTTTTCCCAGAGACAACTGAAACTTTTTAAGCACATTCCTAAATCTTAACAATAGTTTCAAGCATTATATAAAACAGAGGAAAAAAATGTAACATCTTTATAAGAACTGTTCCCAAGAAACATACATATTATATCAAATTAAACAAGATTTAGAAAATACATCATATTTCAAGAACTTAGTTCACCGTTTTCATCTTGGAAAAGAATGTTTTTACTTGTAAGGAGTTAAGATGACCTCATTTCAAACATATCCTTTTTAAATTTATGTTACTATTCCAAAACTATAAATTAAAGTATGGGAAAAGATAGAATAAAAACATATCTTTGAAATATAACTCAGGCAACAGTCTTACATGAATACTGTTTTACAACTATCTATTACAAAAAGGGGAAGAGAAGTATTCTATCTTAAAAAAGCCAAGTAAACAGGTAACATTTAAATTAAAATAGCGTGTGAACTTCTTGCCAAGGGGCAGTCAAAGCTGTAACAGTTTGATGGAATTCTTTACAATGTATTTCTTTTTTAACTAGAAAGCCATATTGCTGTAGGAATGCAGACTCCATTACATCTCCCACCCCGGTGGCAGCAGAGAAACATTATATTTATTAATACATCTAGTCTGAAAGGATGCTCCAGGGGCCAATGCATTTGCATGTTATACTAAGGCATGTTATGATGGAAGTTTTTATGATGGACTTCAAAAGAAGCTGGAAGCCAAAGTAAAGCAGAATGTGGACTCGACATAGCTGTAGGATGAAGATAAATGAGAAGCTACATGAAAATCCCACTAAATTATAAACATTTAGAAAATTTCTTAAAGAGAAAGCTGCGGACTGGTCAAGACTATGTTCCTTAAAGTCTGTCAAGTACTGTGTACAGCAACAGAGCTGCAGATAGCCCAAATTTCTCTCTGATGGCCTGCAGAACCCTTGCAAACACCCTCAGCTACGACGGCGAAGAGGCCGCCTCGTTCCAGGCAAGCACTTCAGAGTTGGAAGGATCTGCACGGATACAATTTTGGCTTCAGGGGTCAACTTTGCCTCGCTTTTCCCATTCGGTCCTACCCAGCAGCCTGGTTTGCTTGTGGGCTTGTTTATAGTCATTGTCTTTCTGATGGCACAACATGAGGAGGTAAATCTCTGGTGACTGTGATTCACTCCAAATAAGCTAAAATTTGTGCTTAGTCTACACATAGTCCCTGGCTAGGACCATCGAAACAAAATTCATCCAGACATCTAACATGAAGACCCAGCTGGTCAAAGTGTCTTCTCAGATCTTTCAGAAGATGAACATGGAAGAAACCCAATATGTGCATCCAGGTGTAAACAAAATTCCTAAAGTATTTTAGGAAACACTGTGCAGGAGGAGCACCAGCTTTAGTTTGGTTTATCTTATTTGTATGGCTGGAAAAGCCTTGCTATGGCTACGGAGTAAAATCAAATGTCAGAGTATGAACACGAAAAGGAGACAGAAAGACGAGACACACTTGATGATAGTAAACAACACCACATTTACCTGAGTTTCCTACCCTTGAATTGGTTCAACATTCCAAGACAGGGCTTATTTTATTTTCTCAGCTATGCAGAGTATGATGGCACTTGTTTATAGCTAGCTGTACAACCTGCAATGGTTATTTTGCCCATAATATAGAACCATAGAATTGTTTAGCCTGTCCAGATCCCTCTGCAGAGCCTTCCTACCTCCAAGCAGATCAACACTCCCACCCAACTTGGTGTTATCTGCAAACTTACTGAGGGTGCACTTGATCCCCTCATCCAGATCGTTGACAAAGATGTTAAACAGAACTGGCCCCAACACCGAGCCCTGGGGAACACCACTCGTGACCGGCCACCAGCCGGATTTAACTCCATTCACCACCACTCCTTGGGCCCGACCACCCAGTCAGTTTTTTACCCAGCAAATAATACACCCATCCAAGCCATAAGCAGCCAGTTTCTCCAGGGGGATGCTGTGGGAAACAGTGTCAAAGGCTTTGCTAAAGTCCAGGTAGATAACATCCACAGCCTTTCCCTCATCCACTAAGCAGGTCACCTGGTCATAGAAGGCGATCAGGTCAGTCAAGCAGGACCTGCCTTTCATAAACCCCTGCTGACTGGGCCTGATCACCCAGTCGTCCTGTGTGTGCCGCGTGATGGCAGTCACGATGATCTGCTCCATCACCTTCCCCACCACCGAGGACAGGCTGACCGGGCTGTAGTTCCTGGGAACCTCCTTCCACCCCTTCTTCTAGATGGGCATCACATTAGCTAACTTCTAGCCAGCTGGGACCTCCCCTGTTAGCCAGGACTACTGATAGATGGTAGAAAGTGGCTTGGTGAGCAACTCCACCAGCTCCTGCAGCACCCTTGGGTGGATCCCATCCAGCCCCATAGACCTATGTGTGTCTATATGGTGTAGCAGGTCACTGACCATTTCCCCTTGGATTTTGGGGTTTCCTTCTGCTCCCCACCCCTGTCTTCCTAATCAGGGGGCTGGGTGTCCGGAGAACAACTTCCCTTACTGTTAAAGACTGAGGCAAAGCAGGCATTAAGGACCTCAGCCTTTTCCTCATCCTTTGTCTCTGAGTTCCCCCCCGCATCTAATAGAGGGTGGAGATTCTCCTTCACCCTGCTTTTGTTGCTAATGTATTTATAGAAACATTTTTTATTGTCTTTTATGGCAGTAGGCATATTTATCAGGTTAAAGAGCTACATATTACTTCTACAGCATATTGTTCATCTATCATTTCAGGTCTTATTGTCAGTTCCTTGCTAATACTGGGAGATCCTTACTTACTTGAATAGTGCTTTGATGAAACCACTTATCAGAACCACTTAACAGGAACTGTTTAACAGTGAGAGTCTGGGTATGCAATTTAACTTTCAACAAGGAAATGGATTTTTTAATATTGTTTTTAAGTCCACATACACTTAACTTTCCTTAACAATTCATGTATGAATGAATGCAATGGTAACAGTCACATACAGATTGAATGCAAAACAAAGAATATATAGAATCAGGAACCTGATTATATTATTTCATTAAAAATACCCTAGAGAGTATTGTAGTGCATTCTGAGGCCATTTCAGTTAGCTTCCTCTTAAGTTTCTGCTTTCACTGGGGAAAAGAGAAAACACCTCTATACTATTTACTTCTTGCTTCATCTTCAAAACCTGCCAGCAAAAATGCCTTATTAATTGGAAAAGCAGAAAGAATACGTGTCATTTTCTATGTTCAGCTTACACAGTAGTCAAACTCAGTGTGTGACCAGTGAGAAACTGACAAACACCAAAAAACCCCAAAGCTTGTGTGTTGATGTTTCCTTTGCATCACTACAGTCTGGCATGATTATGTCACCTTCCCGTGGTCAAGAGAAAGACTGGCAGAAGTTGGAATCTACGTGAGCTCTAACATACGTTACCTTTGAAATCGCACAGGGAGCTTTAAACTTGGACAATATCCAAAGCCTATATACAGGCAGCATAAGTCTTACGGCCTCACCTTACTGCAGTTGAAGTTCCCAACATTCTATACATTTTATCGTTCTGCAAAAGCCACAATTAGCAAAGACAGACAAGAACAGCATCGGATTTACACAACCATAGCTTTATATATTGCAAAGAACAGGAGAGATCTGGACAGGACTCATCCCCACGGGTGACAACACCAAGAGACACAGCGTGATGGAAAGCAGACACGGATCGCGCTGTGCCCCTGTCATCGCAGACCTGCAATCCCCCCCTTCAGCAGTGCCAAGCCCAGGGGTCAAACCCAGCGGAGCCCACCCACGACATGGCTCCTCTCCCCCCTGACCCCCTACCACACAGCCTCACGGGCTGTACCCACCGGGCGTGTGGAGCCAAACTCCAGCTCGCCTGCGGGAGCCGGGAACGGCCACGGAAGATCCCTGCAGTTTTACCCATGCCAGCGGGCATCGCCCACCCAAACCCTGTCTGGATAAAGCTCTGCCCCAAGGAGCCACCATCTTAAATGTTTCCCGGTCCCATCCAACGACTGGAAGACAGAGCCAGAACCAAAGCCCGCCCTTCCCCACGCCACGGCCCGCTCCTCCCCTCGCTGGGAGAGCCCGGGGAGCGCCTTTCTCCTCAGGGAAGGAGCTCGCCGCCGCATAGGAGGCCCGAGGAGCGCCTTTCTCCTCAGGGAAGGAGCTCGCCGCCGCACAGAACCCGGCG